ACATAATTGTTGTATAATGGTTTTGTATTCATGGAGTAATGGATTCTTCTAGCCGTATGATTTTTGTTTGCAAAATGTTTTTATACATGTAAAATGTCTTAGAAATATGGTAATCATGTATTTAAACCAAACATATAGCTAAAGTGGTATGAATAAAGGAGTGACGTAGTATCCATATGTTAAATTGCTTATGTGGATGCAGTATTATGGATGCATTATTTATGAATGCGTTTTTTTTATGGATCTAATATTATGGATGTGGTCATGTGGTTCACAATGCATCTTTGTAACAAACTATTTTACAAACAAATTTGTTTGGTTTATGGTGATTTTTGTGAAAAAACAAATGTGGATTATGGTATAATTGTAACATGTCTGTGTACTCTTATCAAGTAACTCTATACATTTTTATGAAGTAACTCTAACCTCTACATTTTCTCAAGAGAATAGCTAGTTAAGTATATGTGGACAATATCAAATGGATATGTCTGTTTTTTACATGAAAAATGATTTTTACATTAACTACTAAACCAATTCATATGGATTATGATCTATAAATAAATTTTTTCTTTTGGTCATACCAAAAAAAAAAAACAATAGAAATTTTCGAAGTTGGTGTCCACGAGATAATGACCATATGGTCAGCAAAAATGGTTAAACCTTTCTCCATATGTTGCTTTTGTCTCTGTAATGTTCACATTTCAAAACAATATCTTGCAAAGTTACCTTAATTCATCTTGTGCACCATCGCAAAATCTTCACAAGATGAAATGTAAAAAACATGAATGAATCAACACTTTTTCTCTAAAATAAAGTAAATACTAAAAACACTCGTAGCTTGAAAACAAGTTAGTGTTTCACGACTTCTTGGTGTGCTTGAAACAAGTTAGTGTTTCAACGAAGGTCAATGTCTTCCTCTCCACTTCCCAATTTGAATCCAGATGAAGAACACACTACATCGCTTACCGCAAGAAAATCCATCAAAGGGTGTCCATCTGTCCTTGATTCAATTCCTCGTTTCCTAAAATCTTCGAACCTCACAAACATATTCAAACATATGTTGAGTCGGAATTATTTCTTAAAGTAGCCGAAACCAGTTTCGCTTCTCAACAAAACCGGCGAAGTCCTCTCCCTTGTTGTGTACTTCGTACTTGCAGCATCCTCAAGGTCTTGCAGCACCATCGTCTCCGACATGGGCACCGCCCGCGAAACCAGAAACGTGTCCACTTCGAACCTCCATATCCCATTCACATAACAACCCCACTCCCCCAAAGAACAATGCACTGTCCATCGATCCTAACCTACCACAAAAATTCAAGAAATTTTGTTAGCTTATACAATTCACGAACCAATTTGTATCCACATAAAACCTTTGAAAAAATGTCGGCTGTTTTCCAACCAATTGACCAAACTCTCTTCTTCTGGATATTATCCCCAAAAACTACTTTTTAACCTAGTAAAAAAAAAACACACTTTTTTTGGGCCACACGATCTTTTACTTTTTTTTTACAATCCTATGGCCAATATTTCGTGACTTGTAACCATGTTGGTTACACTATGGTTACACTTCCTTTCCACTATGTTTTAGAACAAAGGGCAATCATGTCTTTTTATTGTTAGCACAGTACAAAAGCACCTCAAAAACGGTGCATAAACATAGAAGGGTGCTAAAGTGAAAGAGAACTCACCAAAAGGGTGCTAGCGTGTAACATTCCCTTTCTTTTTTTTTGGTTGTTAGGATCGTCGCAGTGTATAAATTTCTGTGTCTAAATTAGGATAGTTTACGTTAAAAGGATAAAAGTATGCTACACTTTTTTCCTACTTTTGGCGTGTACTTTACATATTTTTTTTTTTGTAATAAATTCAGTTAGAGAAAGTTGTTTTGTTTGTCATAACCGCAACGAAGGAGCAATGGAGCATGGGTTCAATTGGATGTCTCACTCTACTTGACTTGTAAGAGTGACGTATGATGACCCAAAATATATTACATAAAATATTACACAACGAGATATTGTATATACATATACGGCCAGAACAAAAAAAAATAAAAAAAGTTTCTCCATGAGGTGTTTCACTTTAGAAGTTTTTTAATAACTATAATATCGTAAGTAACTGCCATTATCTTTTTTTCAACTATAGAAAATATATATTGGATTCAATACTTATACTGTATAAGTTATACATCATCTCAAAATTCAAAAGGCTTTGAAAATTCATCTAATAGTAATAGCCAACTTTTATACTCAAGGATTACTTTCTAGTTAGGCATGTCAATCGGGCTAGCCCGGTCTGGCCCGGCCCGAAACCCGTAAAGCCCTCATATATGTGAGCCCGGCCCGGCCAGGTCCGAAAAATTTCCGAGTCTATATTTTAAAGCCCGGCCCGGCCCTAACAGGACTACAGGGTTTTTCGGGCCTTTTTGGGCTTTATTTACCGATAAAAAAATCAATTTCTAAGTTCATAATAGTTTTTAAAAAACTATATTTAAAGGTCTACTATAAAAATAATGCATCAAATTTTAAATAACTTATCAATATTCAATAAAACTAACTTAATTTAAGAGAAAAAATAAAAGCCAAATAAATTATTTACATTTTAACCCAATAAAACATGGAACTAAAATACTTTAAAGTATAAGATAGAGTCAAAATTTAATAGATACTTTGATGATTTCAAAATCATGATACTTATATATATATTTAGTTTTAGCTTTATATAAAGATTTAAAAAGTAATAAGTAAGACTAGTAAGTAAATATGAAAACTATAACATTAATCAAATCTTTTAATCAAATTAAAATATTCAAAAAATTCAAAATATATTTGTATAAGAGCTTTTCGGGCCGGCCCGAGCCCGACCGGGCTAAGCCCAAAAACCCTTTACCCCGAATGGACTTAGCCCAAAAGGCCCGGTTTTTTCTGGACATATATATTTAAGCCCGAGCCCGATGTTTTTCAGGGCCGGGCCAAACTAACCCGCGGGCTTTATCCCTAATTGACATGCCTACTTCTAGTGAACATCATCATTTGTGTCAAATTTTGTTTATAAACTTCAACAAAACTAGTAAATTTCACTAGTTTTATAAGTGATATTAATCCCAAAGGATTCTAATGTTACTAGGTTTCCAAATTTTAACTCGTATTTAAACATATTAAAGTGCCAATCACAATTAGTCTAAAAACTATAGATATATGTACAGTATTTGATTTTTAAAATTCATCGGAGATAAGACTTTGGCGTGTGTCTTGATTCGTCTGAAATCTGAAAGTTTATATACCAACTCAGAAGAGAAGCTAGTCCATTTCATTGTATGATTTAAGACCACCGTACCATTTTTTTTTTTGGAATGTTCTAAGAAACTAGACAAGGGGAATACATAATCAGTCCACATCAAAGAAGGGATCATAGTTTCACAAGCTAAAATGCAAACGTTACAAAATACAATAAAGAGTAATTAAAGACAAACCACCACTTCAGCTCAACAAAATGTCACTAACTCTTAGGGTCATTTTCATTTGAAAATCACACTAACGACGTCGTCGACCAAATGTCTGACCCTTAGCGAAACAAGCTCCATTTGCCTTTTCTCCATCTTCCTCACCTTTTCCTCAATCGCTCTCTTCTTTGGTCCATCGTCAACTTTATCCAACCCTTAATCACTGTGGATTCATCCAAACCAAAGGAGTTCTTGCAAAAAGATGCTATGATCTCTCTACCGGAGGATTCACAAGTACTTACAACGTTTACGTCCTGAGGTGAATTGATGTCCTTGAGCTTTCCTCCAAGCTTCTTCCTTGGGTTGTAAGCAAGAACACTCTTTCCCTCTCCAAGACACTTTTTCTGTTTCTTTCTAAACGTTATCTTCAATCTTCGTAGATGCAAATGCAAGAGTGGCTTGAAGCAAACCAAGTTGTTCCCTTTGGCTAAATAACCATGGAAACATTTTCTGCTTACGCCTTTCACTTTCAGAACTGACCTACTAACCTCTTCCTCAAATTTCAGCTTCTTCACATTCACATCCTCAGTCGTCATCTCTTCTGTAACATTTTGTACAAGGTACTGTTAGTCTCAGCAACTATAAGAAACTCAAGAAATATGAAGTGTTAGTTTCATATAATTTCACACACATAAACCAAGGGTACATATGGAGCTCTACAAACCTGGACTCTTATCAGGTAATTGAGCAGACTCCTTAGTCGAAAACACTTGTTTTGTGACTTATTCGAGTGCTTTTTCAGTGGGTTTTTAGGAGTTTTAAGATAACAGCAGAGGTATCAGATATATATATATAATGGAGTCGAAAAGTTAGGTAAGAGTTAACTCCATTACTTAAAAACTTCTCCGTCCCTTCATATTCCTACTACAGTAGTGTAATTAATTTGAAGTTGTAATTCAAAATAGTACAACAACGAAGAGCCAAGATGCTCTCGTGAATTACAAAAGAAGTTATTTTGTAAAGTGAACTGTATTAGTATTAATTAGAAAACTCCTCGAAAACTCAATCTATTAAGTTCTGGTAATCATTCTCTTGCTCTTCTAACAAGACTCCATTTTCGGTACTTGTTCCATCAGACAGCATAATGATTTAACTCCAAGAGAAAGATTTGCCTTTGTCTTTACTTAGCTAACTAAGATTGTGATCATTGACCATTCATAACCTTTTATATCAATTCACAAAAGGATCAAATTAAACAGTACCAACAACTTCATAGTTTCAATTCCGTGTAAGAAAAAACTAGCTCTAGGGACCAAAGAATCACTATTTACTCCACCAAACTGGCTAGTGTGTTTATCAGAGAGCTCGGGCTAAACAAGATCCCGTGCTTCGGGTCAACAACACTCTCCACGACTCTCTGCAACAGACCGGAAGCTATAGTGAGTGTTTGCTGTGCACCTAAACTTGGAAACAAGTAAAAGAGAGAGATACTAACAACATCATTGATCCCTTGTTCAGACAATTGTTTGAGATCTACCGCTATTTCTCCATCTTTTGGGACCAAGAGTGTGTTGATGTAATATCCAGGCTGCACACAAAAAATAATGTTCTTGGATCTCTGTATACGTCTGTTAAATAAGACACAAAGAGAGTGTGAACAAAGAGAGTGTGAATTGAGAAGAACACCACTCACGGGATTCTTGAGCCGGATATTAGGATCTCCATGAGTTCTGTTGAGAGCATCAGCGATAGCAGTCACAAAGCAGGAAGCAGTGAAGCTGCTTGTTTCTCGGTCTTGACTACCGTTCAACAGAAGTACCTGTGACCAAGAGAAAACATCAGACTGAATTTCCACCATTAGTATTCTTGATGAGTTCCCGGGTACCTTACGACATGACCTGGAAGAGATAATCTCACCAACGCCAAGCAGAACCTAGAGAACAGAAGAAGACACGTCTATAACAGTAATCACTAATTTACTATTCCCGCCATTGTTGCACAAAATTCTTAACAGGTTCTTTACCAGTGATGGGCAAATGGAAGTGAATAGGGATCCCATAGCGTAGACAATACAGTCCACACTTCTCAACTGCTCCAAGACTGTTGGGTTAACTGGTGGGAAGACCTATTTAATGGAAATAACACAATACATTTGCAATGTCAAATATACCAGAGAAAACAAAGAACTGAAGTAGAGAACTAAAAAGATAGAGCTTCTTTCAGGGGAACAGAATCACTAGAGATAACATTGAAAATATGCAGAGCAAATTTCTGTATATACAAAACAGCGTAATATACCTCATGAAGCAGATTATTGCCTTCACTTGACATGTAAAACACTCTCTTTATCTTCGATGGAAGAGCTAAAGTCAAACAATGTCTCTACTAGAAATATAGAAAGACAATGTAAGAAACACAATTCTACGTAGTTACAAAATTTGACATTTATTATTGATACAAGTATATAGTTTTTGTGATCATCATAGAACTTCAATGTTATTACGTTAAAGGAACACCTTGTCAACAGTCTGCAGAGTCCCATTGGTAGGGTGAGAGATTTCATTCTGTCCGCGGATTATAGTCCCATCCTACAAATTAATGTCAAAACAGTAAGTCTGCAATCAAATTTACCACCTGAAATTTGGGTGTCAATTGATGTTTAAACCAAAAAAGTTGGCCAGTGCATCTAAGATTTATGTATAAAAGTGATATTTTTTCCCGTGGAAAGTGATGTTTTAGTTGCGATTGATTGTCATGTTTGGGATTCTAGAAACTAGGTGCTGGAATTCAAACAAAGATCAAGCTCCATACCAGTAATTCACATCCTAGGGTAAGCCTATCATTGGTTGATATCACTGGGAGGACCAAACTGTCACAAGGAATCTCTGAAACGCGTGAAAACAGAAAAATCGCAGCATCTAAAGACTGGAAAAATATCCTTGCTCCAGCAAAAAAGAAGTTCCCGATGCTATAAGAAGGATACAATTGAAAGTAAGTTACTAAAAAGGAGAACAACATTATAAACACTTGAAGCTGATAAAAAGATCTTCAATATCAATACCTTCCATTACTGAAGCAAAATCTATCATTAGGTCTTCTAAGAATCTGTGTCGTAAGAAAAATGTCAATTAAGAAAAATCTAAAGAATCAAGAAGTTTGGAACTGATCAACAAGAAACCAACAAAAACATGTTTCTCAGTAACAATTAATCTTACCTCATTCTGAAAGTATATCAAGAAAGCACGGATTGTTTCACTGTAGGGTCTTGAAACACCGTTCCACAGAGAATGATCACCTTCCACAATATCATACCTGATAAAGTTTCAACTCAGCCAATTACACAATACCCTCTACCACTGTAACTAGTAAAAGCCTAGCTAATAAATGAGAAATGCTGGGGAATAAGAAGACCTGGCTAGTAAAAGAAATAAGTAGAGAACTAATAAGGGGAAACACTTGAACAATGGATATTTCGTTTGGAGTCTGCAGGATTCACTGTTTAAATCAAATCCTACTTTTCTACGTCTTTCTTAACTAACTTCTGTGAGTAATTTTCAACAGTGTAAGGGAAAGAGATGCTTGATTGTAATACGAGCTTAAAGCGATGGCCTTTAATGTGTAGCTTGAAGAGTAGACTACGCTATGTGCATAAAGAAAACAGAGAGGTTAGATAAATTACCAATCTTTCTTGGCCTTATCTGCATCTATAGGTAAGCGATGGCCAAGCAACCTTCTAACAGCAAGTGCCTCTGAAGTACTTTCATCAGACAGCCTTAAACACCTTGAACGTATGTCACCAACCGCTGGTCCACCTATAACAACAATGCAGATACAAAAAAAATCCCTTAAAAAGTGTGTTTCGATGGTAAATGTTAAGCTAAAACATATAACATGGGTCTTTCACCATAGAACTTACCGAGAACACGAACAATCTCAGCTGTACTTCCTCCATCATCAGAGACAGGAAGAACATGAGCGACTCGGGTTGTTAGCTTCTTCAAATCTTCCACCACACCGTTAAATCCAGTACCACCTTCATCCCAACCAAAAAAAACAATAAACAATAGTAACTAAACAAAATGTATTGCCAAATGTAAGTCACTAGTATAATCTGTAAGACAATGATAAAGTTTTACACTTTGCAACAAACAGTATTAACACATCTCATCTTAAGAATGCTACTTGGCAAATCAAATACCAAATTCACAGTAATTGGCTAAGATCTAACCCAAATTGATGATCTTTCCACTCAAAAGTCGATACTTTAAGGAGACCCACAAAGCAAGGAATAGGAAGAAAGTGGAACCTGAGAAGACGAGGAGAGAAGGCGACTCCACGGTGGAGGAGGAGCAGCATTCGGCGGGAACGGAAGCAGCCATAAGAGAAGCTGAATTGTAGTGATGAGGTTTGCTGCGGAAGAGAGAAAGAGATGGAACCTTGTACTGGACGAGACCCCCAAAATAGCAAATCTCCGCCATTACCGAGCTGAAACAGAATCACACATCTCTCCACCTTTTCGGGTTTTGTCGATTTTTCAAAGCGTAGGATTTGTTGTTGTCGCAATTTGGCAGTAAGCCGGTAATCCATTCTTAAGTACAAGAAAACAAAATATTAATTTGCTACGGCATTGAAGTGGTTTAGTTTGGTTTTTTTCCTGGTTCGGTCCAAAATAAATCAAAACTAGTGTTTTAATTAGATTTTGGTTGGCTTTGTGGTTTACATGTTTGTTAAGTGTATGAACAATTTAACATTGTTTCAGCTTTAGAGTGACATAGTCCGTCTGAAAAAACTTTTTAAGAAATCTAGTTTTCTACAAAAAGAGTTATCGCTAGAGCCGGTGATTATAAAGTGTAAAACTCAAATTAAAAACACACAAAAATTGCCAACAAAATTCATGCAGAGCCCTTCTGGTCCCTAGTCACGTAGACCCAATCACTTTCTGGGAAAAGTATCTCGACCTCATCAAATTCCGTATCCTCCTCTTGCCTCACATCCACAAATCCGTGTAGTAACTTTTCCGCTACGTCATCTTCATCTTCATGAGCCCTTAATGGTTCGTTGCTTAAATTACTCATCATTATATGCTTCCACGATATCCCCATCACTTCTTTGACACCTTTAGAGTAATGACAGTCCTCAACAATATCATCATCAGATGATGAGTAAAGATCTTCTTCGGAAGAGGTGTCAACATTCTTTAACAGCTGATAGCAACCTTTCCACTTCAGCCTCGAATCCTAATCACAAAGACAATATATAACCAAATCAGCAAACTGGTGAAAGATAACTAGAGTCCATAATATTGAAAAGATAACTTATTTTTTCTAGTTTTTGTGAGGGCAAATATAAAAATGTGAAAAACTGTTTCACAAAAAAACTTACATTATCTTCTTCATTATGATGATGGTACGAACTAGGGATATAGCTCGTCGATGAGGTCCCCAAACTAAGCTCCGACATGTTTTCGGAAGACTTAGAAGCTGTAGTATCCTCTTCTTTATTTTCTTCATCATCATCATTCCATGATTCATCATCTTCTTCGGAAAACGTGTCAACATCTTCGTCTTCTCCATTATCATCATCATCTTCTTCTTCTTCTTCTTCCTCGGAAGGCATCCACATCAAAATCGATTCCTAATCATAATGATTTAGTCAGACACAATAAATAGACAAGCAAATGATTAAAAATTACTAAATTCCGTTATACAAAAAGGTGATTTACTATCCTAATGACCGTGTATATATATGAAGATGTGAAAAAACTGCTTAAAACTTACAGTATCTTCTTCTGAAACTGTAGACTTGTCTTCTTCTTCCTCACCATCACCATCACCATCACCGCTTTGTTCTTGAATGAAACTCTCTGAAATTTTCCAAGCTGCCAAGGAAATCAATATGATACTTGTCAGTCAAGAAACCAAAAAAGTGCTGATATTGTGGCTCTACTTTAAATGGAGTTTACAATAAGACTATATGTAATGTATAATATGTAACACATACCACGCATAGCCCAGTGTTGGCTCGGTTTTTCTTCGACGTCAGCAAGGCACATAGACCAGTGTTGGCTCGGTCTTTCTTTGACCTCAGCGACAGGGTACTGAGAGGAATTTTCTTCACCAGATTCGCCACTATTTGGCTGTCCAGTGGTCAAGTCTTCGGTAGTAGTAGGCTGGATATCTCTTGTCAACTCTGTCCAGAGTTCAATACCCTGCAAATATATATATAAGTGAATAACTCGTCTCTTGACTCTTTATTTGGTAATCAATATATAATATAAATAAACAACACGACCCAAAAGTCTTATGTATAACAACGTACTAAAATACATAACCTACAATATCAGTTCCTAGCATAAATTTTGCGTTTACGATGATGATGATAAAATTAAGAACCTATACAGAGTTAGGCTTTAGTTTTAGCTAATGTATAGCTCATAATCTAGACAGAACCATAACTCATTAATTTTAGGGCATTAAACATCTTAAAAAGACCAAAACAAATTAAAAGAATAAGAGTACTGACCTTTTGTATCGTTTCGTCAACCTTGGTAAACACCAACCCGATTTCATCCATACACTTATCAAACCACTGGATATCATCTACGCCTCCCATCTTCCTCAGTCTAATTAACCCTGGGGAAAGAGTTTCAAATACCAAAATTTCAGTCCTGATCTAGTTCTTAAATATTATATAGTTAGCAAAAACAAAGTTTCTCTTTGATTTATTTTTTAAGCGACGAATAAAAGAGAGTGGATCGTGTGGAAACCCTAATTATTAGAACGAGAAGTATGATCGAATATCTGAAAAAATTTGTATAAATCGTTGCAAGAAAACTTACGAATGAAAAGCGAAAGCACACGAACGAGAGGAAGTAGTAATTAAGGAAGATTTTGGTTTGGAGGAGCTCTGGAGAGATGGAGAATGGATCGCAAGTAAAAAAGAGTTTGGGGTTTTATAACTTTGTTTCTCGTTTCCTTTTTTTTCCTTTTTCAAGAGTTTGTTATGATTCCCATAACACATAGGACTTGGACGTTTTAATATTTTCCTTTTTTTTTTGAGTAGCACACATTGGAGTAAGGACTTCCAATATAATTATATTTTAGTAACAGTGAAAAAATAATAAAATTGCATGATAAAATTAAACAAAGAATAAACATATGATTTAACAAAAAAAAATGTATATAGAGCGAATAGTACAATGTTGGTTAATTCTTCACACTAATCAGTAATTTGTAACAACAAAATAAAATAAAATAACGCTTGAGCTGTTGAGCAATGTGGGTAAGGCAAGACCCACAATATTGATATTCATTTCTTAGTCTAAATATCTCAATATTATATTTTCGCAATCAAATATTGCGTTTGATATAATATATTGAAAGGTAATGTACTTCAAGGTTAAGGATTAATTAGACATGTTAAAAAAGATTAAAGGTAATGTACTTCAAGGTTAAAGATTAATTACATATTTACATGCTTCAAAAGAGAGATTTCCATTCTTTAGTTTTATGTTATTTTCCAAGGTTATTTCATTGAAATAAAAATTAATTAAAGGGTTATAAGGAGAGGTCAAAGATTTTTATTTTTATTTTGACTGTGTTGCCCTTGATATGGTGGGATATTCAAATTAAAAAGCAAAAACCACTCATTCATCATCATAAACAATCTTTTTACAACAAAGAGTGATTATCTCATAGAAAGAAAGATACTAAAATGATAAGAAAAGAAAAACTACAAATTAACAAAGGAAGCTAAAACATACGCCGAGGGAACTGCTCCTGAATGCGTAGGCCTAAATCCTGGTCCCCCGTAGCAGAAGAAGTGAGTCTTCCATTCTTTTGTAATCAACCAATCTAGTAAAAATTTCCGATGGCCAGTATATGTTGTTGGACCCTAAACTCACCACTAGTTTTAATAATTTTTATCTTGTAATTTATTTTTTAATTAGTTAGGGCATGAATAATATATATATATATATATATATATATATATATATATTTAAAACGATAAGAAACCAACATTTAACATGGATGGTAATCTCAAACTGGCTTCCTCCTAAGGAAGAAATAGGAGTAATGGAGCCTCCGAAGACACTACTACCACTTGTTGGATGAAACCCCGGGCATCAAACGTTATAGCATCTAGTTTTGTATGCAATACTCTAGAAAATAAACATTATTGCTACTACAATGCAAAAACTAATTCAAAATCACGTCTGGTTTGATGATTTTATTTTAGTAAGTATATTAGAAATATCAAAATTTATATCTAGTAAAAAAAGACCACCCACATTTAAAATTCTCCAAAAAAAAGTCTTAAAAGTTTTTTATTGATTAAAGACTATATTGACTCAAAATTTAAAAGTGTGACTGATAAGAGTAGAAGATAATTAATTTTGGTTGCAATTTGAATTCTAGGATTATATTTCAAATCCAAGTATGGGTTTGAAACTAGATATGGTTTGGTTTCGGTAAAAATAGCAAAACATAAGTACAATAGAGCAGAACATAAATAAAAGTTAAGCAAAACAAATGACTGAATAAAGGAAATTAGAAATTAAAAAGTTTAAATTTGAAATATTAAAAGTAAATCTCGCATATATTGTCATTTTTTGTGCTTTAGGGATTTCTAATGGCACTTCCTGTAGTCTTTTGAAGAAAAATAATTTTAGTTTCAATAAAAATTATTAAGCGAGACCTTACCAAAAAAAAAATATTAAAGGAGAATTATAAAGTAAAGTGAACATTGAGTTAAATTATTAGAACGAAAAAATTTATTTGAAAAGTCACAAAATGGAAAAACTAAAAACTAAAAGAAGATGGTCAAATGCTGGTTGCTTCGTTTTGTCAAGCAAAAGACATCCTCACCATCTGAACTTTATTAAATATAAATATAGATAAAAGATGTTAGTATATTTTTATAATTTCTTTTTGACGCATCTAAAATTCTTAGACATATCAATCAGGCTGGTCCGGCCCGACCTGAATCCTATAAAACCTTTATATACTGTATTTTTGGTTTTCCTTTTAGTGATAATTCTTAATTATGTTTTTTCTTTAATCCATTATTTTACAATTAAATAATTACCACAAAACTACAAGATACACCTGGCCATAAATATATTTGTATGTATCTTTGACTATATATAATATATTTCCATGATAACTTCTCTGTTTTTGGTAAAAAAAAAATGTATTTCCATGAACTACTACAAGTTGACCAAAAATGTGGTCAAAATTTTTTTGACCAAAAACAATATTGTGGCAAATATGGAAGATTCATTTTTGGTCAAGATAAAAGAAAAAAAGAATTGGGCATTAAACTGAACTTTTCTAGTAATATAAATATAGCTTTTTCTGAACAATCATAATATAGAAGAAAAAAAATATAATTTTGAAATACATATAATGGATCTCACAAAAACCTCCATCACTTTTTTTCTTGTGTTAATGTTGGCAATCTCATTAGCCAACCACAATGTTTTGGCTGCCTCAAGTATGATACTTCTTACAAAAGATTTATTTTCTATCATATTATGTTTAAATTATTTTTGATCTTTCGGAAAATAGTGAATACTACACTTGTTTTTTTTTTTTTGTAATGAAAATATAGAATCGCATTAACCATATAAGTTATTTTATTTATGTATGTGTAGTGCCACCAGAATGCATTGGTCAATGTGTGGGAGCAGTGTCCAAATGCGTCCATGACTGTGTGGCGCAAGGTTACAAGCAGGGACATTGTATCCCAGGGACTCTATTTGCTCTTTGTTGTTGTAGCTAGGCCAGTTGCAATAACAAATAATGAAATCAATATTGTTCGAGCAGCGAATTTATGTTTTTATTGACTTTTCTACTGTTGGTTCTTATTATATATTTGAGTATTAATAAAAATTCATCGAATTAATATATCAACGACATCGCTTTTACAAACTAATATATTTTTTTCCTTTTTTTTCGTAGCACACATTGAAATAAAGACTTGCAATATAAGTACTCTTTCTTTTTCACAAAAAGTGTCATTTTGACATAATTCACACATATTAAAAAAAATATATAATTATACATGTTTACCCTTATTAAATAAGAGATTAATGATTTAAATACAATAAAAATGACTTTTGAGTTTAGAGGTAAATTAAGAAATTTAATATAAAAAAACATTGGAATCGTAGAGTGAGACTTTTTGTGAAACAAAGAAAAATCTTTAGAATAACATTCTTTATATCTTAATAACTATGAAAGATAATAAATGTGTATGATACAATAAAACAAAGAATAAACATGATTTAACAAAAAAAAAATACAAATTTGGTTATTTATCTTACACTGATGAGTAAATTATTGAAAAAACCATTTATTTATCTTTCTGTGTTATGGTAATGACTCCATAGGGGGAAAAACAGTTAAGTGTCTCGCGATTATTGTTGTATTTGTTTGATGTCGACCATGGATCCTACCCAAAAAAAATGTCGACGACGGAGGTTAAGCCTTTTTGTGTTTAGCCAAAAAAACATAATTTTTTACTTTTCCAATTTGTTTATCTAGGGATTCACACTATTCCTTCTTTGCTTCATGTACTAGTCAAACTTCATATTAGTTATTTTCTTTAATTAATGGTATTGCATTGACTGATGTGGTGACTGATAAGCTATGAAGAAAAAGCAAATATGGTTGTAATTTTCAGTGGTTTGTGATTTAGCACCCCAAAATTAAAACAAATTGGAAATTTAGAACACAAAATTTAAGCATAAAAGGACACTTTATATGAAATTATTTTAGTATTCAATCATCAAATTTTTCAACACTGTTTACTTTTTTTTTTACAATCAAATCTTTCAATCAAAATAAAAAGGTCCTCTCACTAAAAGAAAATCTTTCTACATCTAATGTGAAAAGAATGGAAATCTTTCTTTGATACATGTAGGATTCTTGATTTTCCTTTTTGAAAATTCTTGACTGTATTTATTTTGCTTTATTATTTTATTTTGTTTTTCACAAAACTACAAGAAATTACTCCATAAATTCCAAAACTACAAGATATTACTCCATAAATTCCATAGATTCATTGACTATATATAATAAGATTTCCATAAATTCAAGTAATAAAGAATCATTGGCCAAAAATAAGATTGTCAGCAAACATGGAAGATTCATTTATGGTCAAAATAAAAGAAAAGATTTCTTTATTAAATTGAAACTTTTAAAGTCATATAAATATAGCTTTATGTGAAGAAGTAGACAAATATCAAACATAATTTCTTCTTAACAGGAGTAGAAACTTAAGAAAAAAAAACATACAATGGATCTAAAAAAATCTGCTATCATTTTTTTTCTTGTATCAATATTGGCAATCTCATTCTCCAACCACAATGTTTTGGCTGCCTCAGGTATGATACTTCGTAGATAATATTACTTTGCTATTTTCTTTTAAAAATATCTTTAGTCACTTTTGAGCAATTGTGGACACCATACATTTTCCTCAACATATAGAACATGTTCGGGTAAGAAGTTTTATGTATTGATTATATGTGTGTAGGTAAGAAATGCATTGCACAATGTGTTCCAGGGGTTTACGAATATTTCGAATGCATCCATGACTGTATAACCGAAAGGTACGATGACGGACGTTGTTATCCAGGGCCCAACACTGGAAAATGTTGTTGCACCAGCAAATGATTAAAAAACGATAAATTTGTTCGACTGATGAAATATGTTTCAAAGTCTTTTTCTGAATAATTACTAAATGAAATGAAATTAAAAAATATATATTTTTCGTTCTATCGTTTTAAGCTTTTCCTCACCCCTCTTATAAACTAACGATTCCAGTCCAGTCTATCACAAAACAGCATCACTGGTCACTAGTTCCGCAGTCGAAATTTTGGGTTTACTGCTACTTCTTTCTTTAGGAACGTACCTAAACATTTGCTTGTTTGTAGAGCTATGAAAAATAGTTTAACAGGTTGATCCAATCCAAAAATAAATACAAAAATTAAACCTTTTGATTTTATTGGGTCATTGTGACAAAAAGCCCACCTTAGATAAAACCCATCTTGAGCCCAAATGGCCTAAACGAGCAGCTCCGGTGCTCTGACTCTTCACTGTTTATGTTTCCTTTTCCCAATCGGAGGCAACGATTTCATTTTGGGATGGAAACAAAAATCAGGCGAAAGTGAAGGGCCCAAGGGGGGGGAGGTCGTCGTGGCTGAACCCAGAAGCTTGTGTATATGAATGTCAATATGTGGCGGAGGAAAATCATTCAAGTCAAGGCACTGGTGGCAGCGTCGCCTCAGATCCTTGTATATGGCGGCGATGTCATTCTCTCTGTCCACTTTTCGAGTCGCAATCTCTCTGCTCCTCCTTGTTCTCTGCCTTCAATTTTCTCCCGGTTGAGCAGGCAATTTCTCTATCCCCTCTATCACACTCTTAGTGTATTGGTAGCTTTAGTGATAATGAAGCAACGATAGGGGTCTCGTGCTCGGAACGTTGTTCTTCTACTCTTCCGCCATAGTGTTAATCTTAAATCGATTGAGCGGACAACGTAGATAATAATAATAACAGAAATTTCGAAATTCAGTTTTAGCTTTAAGTTGCTTTACGATGGTTTTCAAGAGCTGTGTGTGATATACGTATTAATTTGATGAGTAGGGGGATTTATATAGCGTCAAGAGAAGGTTCAGGCCAACGTGGAGGGTAAAGGTGAGTATTGTTGGAGCTAGCTAGATCACTATATCTCTGCTTGGAAACAGTGTAATAGGTAATTTAGCTTATGAGAGACCATGAATGGCTTTGAACACCTTACTGAATCTCTGCTTTTCAGGGTTTCATGGATACATAAGCATTATTGCAATGTGCTGTTATCTTTGTTTGTTTGTTCGTTCGATGTGTTTTTGTGCATTTGCTCATTAATGTTCATACTATAGAGTCTCGCTTTTAGTCAGTTAATGTACTCTTTATGGTCCTTTACCAGTTATGTACTCTATACTGACTTTCATGATACTCTTCTGCTGCTTGATTCTCTGTTAGCATTCTTGCATTTCATATTTTTAACTTGTTTCTTATGTCACTGGTCTATTTGTTCTGTCCTTCAATATAACAGGGGAATAAAAAGGCTGCCTCTTTTGTGAAGTTCAGGCGGTGGTGGAAGGGGATTGATTTTTTCCATAAGGCTTATTTTTTTTATGCCAATACATGAAGAGTAAGCTCTTTTTTTTGTTTAGCACTGTAATTTTAGATTTTATGAGATGGAGTACTGTTATCCGCCTTGCAAAAATTTAGATTTCTTTCACAAGAATTCTTAAAAGCTTATGTATTCAGCATGATTCTTGTACCATGTTTCAGTCTCCACTGGAGCCTTGTGATAGTTTCAGTCTCCATTGCCATTGGAGCCTTATGATAGTTTGCATCCTTTTCCAAATAAAATTAAATTACAAACCCAATAACAATAAAAAATAGTATAATAATGTTTAAGTACTTAATGGGTGTCTTTACCAATGGAGGTCCAAATTTGATGAGTTTCTTACAACTTAATTTAAATTAAAATGTATTTACTGTACCTTAATCTATTATTGTAGCTTTGGTTTGCCTTGTGTTTATTTATAGTCTGTGAGATGAGTGCCTTTACGAGGTTTCTTTGAGTCAACCAGGTTGATTTTGGTTGTGATTTGCTGCTGCCCAGAAGAAGAGGTGGATCGGATAATTCACGGCTTTCTAGTAAGCGTTTTCTATTATTTGTTTTGTTTTTGTTAACAAATAAGTACTGGCTCTGAATCTCGCTGGCTCTATGGGTTTCTCTCTGTTTACATACAGCCTACGTCTAGTCTGAGTTTTCCCTACCTCGCTCCCAAAATTTTCTGTATTTGATGATGTTTTCCATTACTCAGGCAATCTAAATTGGTCTGGTTCTGAAGAACTTCTGCCTTAGTCCTTAGGAGTATCAACATGCTTTTTACCTTCTAGAGAACCCTTTCATTGTGAGTTTATCTGTTTTAAACATCTCTTTGACTTTGGTAAAAGCACACATGGGCGCACCAGAGTTTAAACACTTGTAAACTGCCTGCAATGAGTATTTGGCTTTCTTTTTTCTTTTTTTGGATCAAACTAAGTATTTGGCTTTCTAAGTTCATACTTTGCTTTTGATTTGTTTAAGCATAGATTGGTCGTTCACGATCTAACAGAATCAATGATAAGTTGCAGAGAGTCTATTTTATAGGAGAAGACACATAAATGAGGATGAAATAAGTGTGGAAGGCACATGTGTAGAGACTGATGACAGTTAAAACAAAATTGTAACAGAATCCAGTTAGGGTGGAGGCTATTAATAGTTGTCGCAATGTAACAAGAGAGGCATGTGATATGTGGAGTAAACCAGTCGTGATGAGGCTGCGTTTAGAGTCTGAGAGATGTGAATCAAGATTCGAATACTCAATTGTGTTGTTCTTGAGTTTCTTTGACTGACATTGTTGTTCGTAATACTGTTGGATGTACAAGGAACAAAGATGTACAGAGCATTTTGTAGAGTCAGTAAAGGATAACTTTTACATATCAAAGGTATAACAGTCAAGATATCAAATAGGGAGGGTACCATGAGAGATGCTGTAAAGCTTTTATCATTTTTGCTTTGCATAGTTGATTTTGAAGATTGTATCAGTCTTAAATCGAATATGTTAATTGCTAACAACTGCAATGCAAAAGCGACTTAAATCGAATATCAGTCTTAAATCGAATATGTTAATTACAATCTTATTACGACAAATAACATAGAAAATACTACTAAACGATAAGAAACATGAAGAAAAAGAAGGAAGCTGCTGAACTATATGTCGAGGGAACAGCTCCTGAATGCGAAGGCCTAAAGCCTGGCCCCCCGTAGAAGAAGTGAGTCTTCCATTCTTCTGTATACAGATCCTTGACGCTGTAAGATTCGGGATTGGTTGTTATGCTCTTCACGTCTTGAACTCGCTGGAGACTGTTGTTGATATCTACAGTCTGCAAGTTGCGGAAGTAGCTACTTCTCCCAAAACCTTCGTCGGGAAAGCGGCCGGACCCCATCTGGGTCATTGTGTGTCGGTCAAATGGGCGCGAGTTCACTATCTCACCACCCCATTGTGCGACTTCCGCGTGATCGGCCAATGTTGTGAAAATCTCCGCTGGCCAGTATCCCACGAGTTCGTTGTTTGGTCCTAAACTGAGCCACCAGTTTCCATATTGCCGATCCTGTAAAAACTTTTTATCAGTTAGTTAGAAATAAAAAATATATCTATATATGATGAATAACATAAAATAAATATTAAATTCGATTGAAATAAATCAACCTTCCAGACGTGGATGGTTATCTCAAACTGTCTTCCTCCCAAGGAAGAAACAGAACTAATGGGGCCTCCGATAACGATACTGCTACTCGTCTGGATGAAACCCGGGCACCGAACGTTGTAGCATCCAGTTTTGTATGCATTGCCCTGGAAAAAAACAAAATTAAACAAAAACATTATTGCTATTAGCACGCAAAAAATAATTCAAAATCACGCTGTGGTAGATGATTTTAATAAGTATACAGTATTTTTCAAATATTATAAACTAGGAAGTATACAGACATACAGTATTAGATCCAGTGACATTTATATCTACTTTAAAAAGGGCAACTACATCTAAAATTCACCAAAAAAAATCTAAGTCTTTTATTTAACTAAATAATTTTAGAAAAAATATATTGATTAAAAACATACGGGTGTAAGTAATAAGAATAGTAGTAGATAATTTAATTTTTTTTTTGCAATTAAATATTGGATATTTCAGGTATTCATTCCGTTTTTGGTTTAAATTTAGTTTCTTGAGTTTAGAGATTAAGAATTTGTTCGGATTTTTTTATTTTTTTTTGTGTTTGCTCGATTTCGATTTAAGTTTTTGGGTTCGAATGGTTTACCCAGCGAAAGTAATAATTACTATTACATAACTAATAAACGAAATACAGTAAACCAATAAAATTTGTTACATTATCATCTTTACTAGCATCATGTGTAGAGTAATACCTTCTTCATCTCATATCTTACTGACTAGATTTTTCGAAGGACAAAAGAAACTGAGTGGGATAGTCCATTTATATAGTTATGTTCAACTAGTCTTTTATTTAAAGTTACATATACTGTATATAGTATTACTCATTTTCAAAGTAGGTATAATACTAATAGCTGCCATGAAAATAAAATAACAGGTGTCGTAATAGTATGAATGTGAGTCTGTAGTATTTAACTTAAAATTCAGATCGATAATAACAAATGTTTTCAGAAGAATTTGAAAAAAAAAAATAGTTGAGGATGATTAATAGAGAATTAAACGTACCGTCCAAAACAGGAATAACCTAGGCTTGTTGTCCTTATACAACTTCGGCAGAACCTACATATTTAAAAATAAAAATAAATTATTTGTATTAGTCGTTTATAATGACATAACTAGATTGCTTGAATTAAAATTTAGAAAAATTAATAAGAACCCTTTATAAATTACCTGCCAGCCAATTTCAACGGTATTAAGATCCCCACTTTTGTATTGCCCCGACGCAATCCATATCTGCGATATGGACATCTCTTTTGCTCCATTTTCTATATTGGGATCCCAAACATTCACTATCGCCTTTGTTCCGTATAATTTTGGTGTGGTTTGCGTAGTAGTCATGATCGCATACTGTAATATTCAAACATATATACACAAAGTAGTTAATAAGAATGGTTACAGTATTAAACCAAAAAAAAAATATGGTTACATTAGTTAAAAGAGGTAAACAATAAATTATTCTCTCGTAAATCTAACTCACTGTTTGTGTTATAAGAAATACACAGAGATACTAAGACATAACAATCAAGTTAGTAAAATATTAAAATGGTTAGTAAACTACACATAGAAACAAAAAGTAGAATCAGTTTGGAATGGCGTTTGGTTTGGTTTGGTAGACTCATTTTTTCACTTTCTGTCACAACATCAGTTAAGGTACTTGCATAATCATTGATGAGTTACTGAGCTAGTAAACCAAAGAGAGGCGTTAAATAAAATATATTAATGGTGATTGGTGAATATATATTGCAAACGATCTTAAGAATCAAAATGAATAGTTAAGATAATATTATTTGTTTAGATAGTTCAGTTTTTTTTTTTTTTTTTGGGTAAAGGGTAAAGGATTAGTTTATTAAGGAGGTATATTTGTTAACAAGATAGGACTAAAAATAGATTTTGGGTGAAAATGTGGCAAAAATATAAAACTAGTAACATCTAATAAAATGTGTTTCAAATTATTACCTCATGCCCGGGGTGTTTAGTGGTGTCGGGTTGTGTCTTATGATTTACAGTGGCGTTGTTAGACCGTATTGGTACGGTTCCTGGGGGACATTTGGCGCTGCTGGTACGAGCTTCAAATGTTTGTTTTTTGCGTTTTTGAGTCGTTTCGATCGCTTTGGGAATTTCTGAAGGCACTTCCTGTTTTTTTTTTAAAAAAGAAAAATAATAATGTTTTTTTTGCTAAACTGCAAATATCATTAAAAATGAAAGTTTGGTTTTACAACCATTACATTGTTTCCTTGGCAAAAAGAATAAAACAAGGTAACAATAAAGCTTATACAGCTAATTAACCGATCATTACAACCAAAGGCTCATTAGACGTTTGAAGCGTTTCCTGAGTCTACGAGCTGTGATTGAATTCCTCACCTCTCGGTCGATACCCTTGAAGATGACCGAAGGGAGGATAGCAACTTGATTATGCAGCAAGTTGTTTCTCTGTTTCCATATGGCATTGGTTACCGATTGAGCCACCAGCTTGCGGAGAGTTGAGGGGGATCTGGAATTCTTTTCCTTAGTCCAGACGATTAATTCCTTCCAAGAGGAGAAAGACAATCGAGGAAGATCAAGCCTGAGGCTAACCGAGTGCCAAATAAACCGCGCAAAGTCGCAGAATAACATGAGATGGTCTCTAGTTTCCAGGTCAGAAGAACAAAAATCACAGGAAGAAACAATGTTCATACCCCAGCTAGTGAGTCTTGCTTTAGTCGGTAACCTGTCCAAATTAGCTATCCACATATTGAAAGCATTCCTGGGGATAGCTCCTTTAAACCAAATAGAGTTGAACCAGTCAACTTGGGAGGCCCTCGGCCTTAGCACAGACCAAGTCTTAGCTGCAGAGAATGATGTGGAAGTCTTCTTATCTACCTCCCATTCGTAGTGATCATTAACATGGGAAGCACTCGGTAGATTTAAAGTGGTAAGAAAGACCATAAGGGTCAGTGCTTCTTCGGAACGCGGCTCAGGAAGAAGCCAACCAGCTTGATCACAAGCAGAAGAAACCGAGGCGTTAAGATGGACTCGGAGACTTC